ACCGGAGCGGGCGGGGCACCAGAGCCGATGCCCTAATCCCTGGGCGGGACGTGAGGGCCTCGGGCTCGCAGATGCCGACGGCCACGGCTCCCCTCTGGACGCCCCCCCCCCAGCCCTCCGGACTCTCTTCCAGGTCTTCTTTGTGGAGCTGCTGCAGGAGGCCAGAGGGGGGCCGAGCGGACGCCCCCGCCCCAGCCCTCCGGACTCTCTTCCAGGTCTTCTTTGTGGAGCTGCTGCAGGAGGCCAGAGGCGGGAAGCTGATCCCGGAGGACGTGGTGAAAATGATCTTCTCCAACATCTCCTCCATTTACCAGTTCCACGCCTGCTTCTTCCTGCCGGAGCTGCAGAGGCGCATGGCGGACTGGTGAGTTGGGGGAGCCGAGACGCCCCGGGGGCACTTGACTGGGGCCAACCAGCCCACCTGAATCATAGGACATCGCACACTAGAACAGTCCCGGCCCTCCCGGCAGGACCCAGCGCTGTCTAGCCCATCCCCCACAGGCGTCTGTCCAGCCTGCTCTCCAATATCCCCAGGGATGGGGATTCCACAGCCCCCCAGGCAACTTATTCCAGTGTTTGACCCCCTGACAGGCAGGGAGTTTTCCCTAATGTCCAACCTCAACCTCCCTGGCTGCAGTTTAAGCCCATTGCTTCTTGTCCTGTCCTCAGAGGCCAAGGAGAGCAATTCGTCTCCCTCCTTCCTGTGACACCCTTTTAAACACCTGAAAACGGCTCTCATGTCCCCTCAGTCTCTCCTCTCCAAGCTAGAGAAGCCCAATTCCTTCAGCCTTTCCTCACAGGCCATGTTCTCTAGACCTTTCCTCATTCTCGTTGCTCTTCTGTGGACCCTCTCCAATTTCTCCACATCTTTCTTGAAATCCGGTGCCCAGAACTGGACACAATACTCCAGTAGAGGCCTAACCAGCACAGAGCAGAGTGGAAGAATGACTTCTCGCGTCTTGCTCACAACACACCTGTTCACGCAGCCCAGAATCATGTTTGCTTTCTTTGCAACAGCATCACGCTGCTGACTCCTATTTAGCTTGTGGTCCACTCTGACCCCCAGATCCCTTTCTGCCATACTCCCCTCTAGACAGTCGCTTCCCGTTCTGAGGACCAAATGTGGTGCACGGGTGTGGCAGAACGTAGGGGTTCCCCCGCCTCCTGCACCCCCATAGTGTGACGGCGCGTTGGGGGGTCCCCGTCTCCTGCACCCCGAAATGGCACAAACAGACTGCACCAGCCAGTGGAATTGAGGGCGGTTTATTGCTCCTCCAGCACAGCGCAGCACAGATGTAATCTGGTCACAGGAACTGGGCTAGGATGCCTCAGGCCCCCTTGAGATGGGGGAGACTGGGCCCCTAAACTCCA